AAGGGGCTACCCCCGCTTGGCAGCGCTCACTCCGTGCTAGGGGTGGCCTCGGCGCTGCGGCCGCCCGTGCATTTCCAAGGGCCCTCCGGGATTTCGGAGCACAAGGCCCATGGGCGGTGATTGGAAACCGGCCCCCAAGCCCCCTTGCATTTTGTCCCCACTCGGGCTGAGGTAGGGCACTTCTGCTAATTGGAGTCACTACCTCCAACATGCTGCACCCTCACCCAAGCTGACAGATTCAGGACACTTCACTTGTATCTGGAAACGTGCATTTCCAAGGGCCCTCCGGGATTTCGGAGCACAAGGCCCATGGGCGGTGATTGGAAACCGGCCCCCAAGCCCCCTTGCATTTTGTCCCCACTCGGGCTGAGGTAGGGCACTTCTGCTAATTGGAGTCACTACCTCCAACATGCTGCACCCTCACCCAAGCTGACAGATTCAGGACACTTCACTTGTATCTGGAAAGCGCACTCCTGCCTTCCTCTTCTGATAAACCCCTGGCATCGGAAATATGTTTGGACAAAACAGTGGTGCCGCAAAGCCTGGGAAGAGCCAAATGTAAGAGTTGAGAGCTGTTAACTGGAAACACTGAGGACTCAAGAGTTTGAGTTAAAAATGATTTTGTTCTTAAAAGGTGAATCTTCCATTCTTTGTATCTGTTTTTGGTGGCTTCCAGTCTTTGGGGGAGCCCCAATTTCCAGTCTTCTCTACAACCATGGCTAGAAACCCTTTAAAAATGTTTCTGTTTAACCACATGACTCCAGAAGTGGGAGCTTTCAGAAATACCAAATAGGAGACTCATGAGAATATTGTGAGAATTATCTGTAAGACCATTTTAAGTCTCAAACTGCTTTACATTCTAAAGCAAAATCTGGAGTAACACACTAGTTTGAGGAGCAGTATGCAGGCTCCTAGTTAGGTATCTAGTACTTTAGTTCTCAAAAGTTCTTGGCTCATGGACCACCTGACTCAATGCAGATCTTTCCATGGACCACCAGTTGCTAATGGAAACTCATAGTTAATTACATAAATACGCCCAAGCCATTTTGCTAGTGCGGCAGCTAGGGAGAATGGTTTAATTTAAATTATTAAACAGATTAAGCATTTCATTTTAAATAAACTAACATGAGAAAGTTAAAACACTTAATCTGTTTAATAATTTAAATAAAACCAAAGTAAAATATTAATTTATGTCCAACACAAAAGGTTTCAATGTTTTCTATATTGATGGCAGAGGTAGAGCACCTTTTTTGGGTCAGAGGTCACTGACCCATAGAAAAATCAGTTGGGGATCACAAATATGGGAAGGGAGCAGAAAGATTGAGGTTCAGGGCCTTCCATAGGCCAGATTTACTTATTCTGGGGTTCTGGAGTTAGTTGATTTATTTGTATCCCCTTAGGCTCTGGGGTGGGGAAATATGAGGGTTTCAGTGTGACAGGGCTGCCAGTGAGTGGAATAAGGATGGGGGTGTGGGATCTGGGCAGGAGATGGGGTGCAGGAGGGTGTGAGGTAGGGTGCAGAAGCAGGCTGGAAGTAGGATGTCTGGCTGCGGGGAGGGAGCAAGAGCAAGGGAGGGTGCAGCGTGTGGCCAGGAGGGAAGGGGCCACAGACATAGCTGCTGTTCCTGATCCTCTCACAGGGAAGGGGGCACCCCAATGTACTGAAACCCCCACAACTCAGTCACAAACTCCCACAGTTACCTGCTCCCTCACACTTCACATAGATATTGCACCACGACCCCTGTCTGACAACAAAAAGTATGACCCCAGGAGTGGGGGACTGAAGCCTGAGCTTGAGTTCCCACTGCTCTGAGGAGTAAAGAGAGGGAGGAAAGCCAAAGCTTCAGGGCTTCAGCCCCAGGTGGAGTGCCTGCAACCTGACCAGTTTGGTCTCAGTTGTTGGTGCTCGGGATTCAGCATCAGCATTGGGCCTGGGCCACATCAAGTCTAACAGCCTGGCAACCCCCTTAAAATGGATTGCGACCCACTGTGGGATCCTGATCTACATTTTGAGAACTGCTGCCTTAGAGTGTTAGCTCTATTTCTTTAGTTTAATACATCACTTTTCTTGTCTTTGAGAACTAAAGTACAGTCAGAGAGAGCCAAAGGCTGTCAGGTGGTATTTTGTAGCGATAAAATAGTAAGCTATATTAGTCTCTCGTTGGTTGAAGATATGCTTTTATGAGCTTCAGCTTGAGTTTTGAAAGCGAACCGTGCCAAAGAG